TACCACAACAACATGGATTAATCTCAAATGCGTTATGTTAAGTGAAGGAAGCCAGACTCAAATGGCTACATAGTATATTATATGGTATTAGCGTATGTAGAGTATATAGTATGTATAATATTCCATTCTGGAAAAGGCAAAACTATAGGGACAGAAAACAGATCAGTGGTGGCCAGAGGTGAGGGGTTGGCTATGAAGGGGCACTGGTGAATTTCTGGAGCTAACGGAACCATTCTATACCTTGCTTATGGTGATAGTTACATGACTGTATGTGTTTGTCAAAAATCATAGAACCATATCCCGAAAAGGGTGAATTTTACTGTATGTAAGTTGTACCTTAATTAAAAAATAGAAAAATATATCTGCACTAGCCATGATAACCTAGGTTATGCTAAAATAAAAAATATCCAACTCCAAATATCTCAGAAGTTTACAGCATCAAAAGCCTATGGCTTTATTACTCTATATTTTTATCTCCAGTCAGCTTGGGGCTCTGCTTCATGTTATCATCACTCTAGGACTCATTTTGATGGGGCAGCCACCTTCTGGAGCACTGCTGGTCTGCATGGCAGAGAGAAAGATGGAGAGAGGGAAATCATGCATGGGCTCTTAAAGCTGCCACCCGGCAGTGACACATGTCATTTCAATTCCCTTTTCACTGATCAAAGAAAGCCACATGGCCACATCAGTGTTCAAGGGCAGGCCTACCAGGAGAGAGACTGGAAATATTTGGTGGACAGAGTTCCACAATCTCCACCATGACGGTGAATTTGTCGATTTCTTTTTAGAGTTCTATCAGTTTTAATCTATTCCATAGTTTGAAGCTATAATATTATGCGGATACAATTTAAAATTATTATGCATTTCTGGTGAGTTGAACCTTTTTCACTATGAAACAGCCTAATTCTATTAGTCATCTTTTGCCACATGAAGCTGCAACAACAGCTCAACAGCATGAATCATTCACTGGCTCTTAAAGCCCCACCTGGAAGTGACACGTTTAATATTCCATTAGTCAAAGAAAGCCACATGACCACACCCAACTTCAGAATCTCAGCGGCTTACAACAAGACGGGTTAATTTCTCACTCATGCCATAGGTCGTCTCTGAGTTTTTTGTAGCACTGCTCATTCTTCATTCTACTTTATACATCTTTCAAGGATCCAGGCAGGAGTAGCCCCATCTGGGACAAGATCTTCTTGTGGCAGAAGGAAAGAACAATGGTGCTTAAAGCTCTGCTCAGGAGTGTACACATAACTTCCATTCACGCTTCAGTGATCAAACCTGAAGTCCGAAGGGATCGAAGTACAGGCCTCTTATGAGGAGGGGCAGCAAATTATTGAGAACCATAATGCAATGCACCACACTATTTCTAGCAATGCTTTTTGCCTTAAACTCTATTTTGTCCAAAGTTAATACAGCTAATAGACCCAGCCTGAAATCTCGTTCGCCTTTCTTTTACTTCAGATTTTCTGTCTTTGTGTTTTAAACAGTATACAGCTTGATTTTTTAAAAAATCTATTACAATGTCTTTTAACTAAAAAGTTTGTTTTTTAAAAATATATTTATTGTGATTCATGATATATTTTAATTTATTTTTCCACCTTATTTTGTGCTTTGTATTTTTCCACTTATGTTTTTTTGTTTCTGCCTTTATTTCCTTCCTTCCCTTTTTTTTAATATTAGTTTTCTTTTTCTAATTTGGTCTATAACTTTACTCTTTCTTTGGTATATAACTTTGGTCTGTCTTTATTCTTTTAATGGTAAACCTCGAAATGTCAGTGTTCATATTTAATTAAAAGTCTAATGCTAAGCAATCTTTTTATGGACAGTGCAAATACCTTGGACTGATTGAACTATGGTCTCCAATTCTTCACTATCCATACTGTGTGCAAACCCTTTGCCATAATCCTTCATAGCTCCCTCCTATTATAACTCTGGACTCTGTCACGTGACTTGCTTTGGCCAATAAGATCTAAGAAGAACCTTGAAAATGTGCTTGTACATTTCCATTGCTTGCTTTTGTGTCCCTGCTGTTGCCATGAGAACTTGTCTGGACTACCTGGCTGGTGAGTGAGAGACACGTAGAGCAGAGTCAAGGCCCCCAGCCAAGGCCATCCTAGATCAGCTGACCCCGGACACGTAAGCAAGCCTGGCCAAGCTCAGCAGAGCTTCCTAACCCATACCTAGCAGACACCAGATGTGTGAGCAATAAACAAATATTGTTGTATCCTTCTGAGGATTTGTGGCTGTTATGCAATAGAGAACTGATACACACTTTATAATGCTTTGACTTCCGTAATCCTCTTATACTTTATAAACTATCATTCCATTATGGTGGTTTTGCCTTTTTTAATCCCACAAATTATAGATTGTTCTCTGTCTGCTTTTAAAATCACCTCTTGTGCTTTGGTGTCCTGAAGTTTCACCAAACTAGATCTAGGTTTACTTTTTCTTTATCTTATTTGGGACTCATTGTGTTTGCTGAGAATTCTTATCTTTCATCAATTCTGGAAAATTCTCAGCCATCATTATTTGACAATTGCCTTGCCCACATTCACTTTATTATGGCCTTCTAACATAACTTCTAACACATGATGGACTTTCTCACTCTTTTCCATTTCTTTGTCTCTCTGGGACGCTTTTTGGTTTGTTTTCTGCAAATCTATATTTCAGTTCACTGACTTCTCTTCAGGTGCATCTAATTTGGTATTTAACCCTTCCAATGAGCTATACATCTAAAACAGACCTGCCTCTGCTGTTTGTCTTCTCTGTTTATTTCCTCGTGGGTTTTGTGGGTTTTGATCGCAAGTTCACATTCATTTGGAAGTCTGCCTGTGGGAATTTTTTGAGACCTGGGTTGACAGTGAGTTGTTCCAGAGAGGACTTGTGTTTGCTCAGCCAAGTACAATAGGTACTAACTACCCAGATCCATTTTAAATTGAAACGTTCAGCTTGTAGGCCTTTGGAGCATGCAAACGGTATGGCCATGCATTGGCCAGCCTTTAGCCATGCACCCATTAGGGAAATGTTTTACCCCTTCAACCAGAAGCAAGGCAGAGAAAGACAACTTTCCTTTCTGCCTGCCTCTGCAAGGCAGATATTTTTTTTCTCTAGTTTATCTTTCCCCTGGAGATATATTCCTTCTTGGATTTCAGCCTGATGTTCCAATTTGGCTGTCATCCTGCCTTGATCCAGGCAGATGCTCTTATAGCTGGTAGCAGCATCAATGCTTACCTACCTCCAGAGATGATTTTTAAAATACTTTTCACTATAGTATATGCACCAACCAATGAAAACAGATGCAGACCGCACCTGTGCATAACTTCTGACCATCAGCTCTAACTTCCCAGGCCTGTGTTTCTTCCTGGCCTCCGATGATTTTCCTGACTTTCTCACAAGCTTATCCATGCATTTAAAACAGTGTTTTCAAGATTTCTCCTAGCAATTTCACATATTTTGCTGCTGTTATATTTGGAGATACGTAGTCTACCATAATGCTAGAATTAAAGTCCAAGTAAGAAGTTTACTAGGCAGCAAACCATCCAGGAGGAAAGAGTCCAAAGCTGGGGCTGTAGCTTAATGTCATATAAGATCTAGGCTTTCTCAATGTTTCTGCTTTACCAGCCTTAGCATTTGCTTGTCATGTCATAGGCATATCATGGTGACTGAACTTCCAACTTTCAGGTTTGCTTAGAGGCAGGAAGAAAATAAAAGTGGCAATGCACTTAAGGAGCATAAACAACTAAAAGTCCTGATGGACTTTGTAAAAAAAAAACAAAAAACAAAAAACAAGCTTTTTCAGAAGCCGGCTCAGAAACTTCTATAAGAAGTATTAGGCCCAGAAGTTGGTCACATGACTATGCCTAGTCCAACTAAAGGCAGTTAAAATTTCAACTTTACCATGGTGTGAAAGTGATACACAGTCAGTAGAAGCCATAATTGGAATTTTGGTCTTTTCCCAGGCTAGTCGTGTGCAGTAGGATACTCTCTCCTGATGCTGGGCGGTGGCAGCAAGCCAAGCTCCCAATCACAAGGTCAAGAAGGCAAATAACCGATACGCTTACAACCCTTCTGTACACATACAACCATTCTGTTTTTCACTTTCAGTTCAGTATTGAATAAATTACATGAGCTATCCAACACTTTATTATAAAACAGACTTTGGGTAGATGATTCTGCCCCATTGTAGGCTAATCTAAGTGTTCTGAGCATATTTAAGGTAGGCTAGGCTAAGCCATGATGTTCGGGAGGTTAGGTGCATTAAACGCATTTTCGACATGATATTTTCAACTTACGATCGGTTTATGGGGAGGTAACCCCCTTGTAAATTGAGGAAGAATTGTACTGGCTAATGAGAATGAGATTATCATGAACAGTTTAGACCAATTATGAGTCATTCCCTCTAGCTGGGGTGATGTCCCCTGAGATCAAAGGATCTCCTTTGCTACCTGAACAAAATGAGGTTTTTCCGCTAGCGGGGCCCACATGGAATACACTGGTCCTTTCATTGAACATTTACTGAGCATCCACTGCATGCCAAAGCCGCTATGGAGGCAGAGACGGATTTGACAATCTCTGCTAGGCAGGTTGAGATAGGTCAAAGTTTAAAAAGGGTTTAGGAGTCGGTATCAGCTCCGCAATTCCCAGTAGCTGTCCCACAACCCCTAAAGCTGATTGCACGGCTCCAGACGATACTGCGCAGGCGTCGTCTATCCCGGAGCCCTCTCCTAACGCCCCGCCCCGAATGTGAGTCCGCATGCGCACACCGCTTTCACTCGATGACGCACCCCCGGAAGCACTGACCGTTTAGGGGGCGGGACTGGGAAGCATTTCCGGGGGCGGGAGGCACAGGCTGTGGCGGTCGCGGCAGCGACGGGTTGAACGGGCCTGACGCCGGCGGCGGAAAGTGTACCGCGGGCGGGCTGTGTGAGCGCGGAGCCCTTGGCAGGTACGGCGGACGCGGGACAACGGGTAGCGAGGAGCCAGGGAGGGAAGCCGGAGAGGTTTATGGGCTTCTCCGCGGGTCCTGGCGCTCACCGCCGGCCCCGCCGGGCCCGTTCCGCCGACCGGGATGCTTATGAGTCGCGCGGGGGCGGTTGGAGTCCCAGCGCCCCGAGTCCGAGTCGTGCGGTCTCCGGCCAGCCCGGCGCGCGTACCGCGACGCCGAGGCCCCCGAGGTAGCGTCTCGCCCAAGGTCACCCCGCGGCGGCGGACCTCGGCGGACCGGAGCGCTTAGAGATCCTGCCCCAGTCCGGCCGCCGGCCTTTCGGGGGCGCCGGGTGGGCTTGGCGGCCTCGGGTTCGAGCCAGGGCCGGGAGAAAGGCTGTGCGCGGACTCCGCTGGTTCTCTCTCTCTGTTTACCGCTGTTTTCTCTGTTGCTGTCTCTGTCACCTGTTGTCATCTGCTCTTTTTGCCTCTCAACTCGGCCCCTGTCAACTTTGTCATTCTCTCCACCTTGTCTCTCTTAGGATTCAGGCCCTGTCTTGATTTCTGTCTCCACCTTCCTTCTATGTCTCTTGACCCTGTGTTTTCTTCTCTGTCCTACTCTCATTCGTGACCTGCCGGTCAGTCCAGTTCTTTGGCCATCTGTGTTTGTCTCTCTCTGCCAATTTTATGTCTTCTTATTTCTGCCTCTCCTAACTGGGTTTGTCTAGATGGGGCAGGGCAGGCCTGCCCGGACCTCTGAGCCATGGAAGGTGACTCATGACCCCGTGAAGCTTCCTGCACTGGTGACATTCTCAGTGACTAAACCACAGTCTGGCCTCAGCTCTGACAGGTGTCGCCCAACCTAAGTGTCAGGGTGCAGTTGCTCCTGGTGGGTAGATAGGAAGGCTTCTCAGGGCCATAGTAGCTTGAGGATCCTTGCCTTTTCTTACCTGTGGTTTTTCAGGCCTGCGCAGCTCCCTACTTCCCTTTGCTCCATCTACTTACCCCAGGATGCCCTCCAGGGCTCTCAGGAGCCTGCTCTTTGACTTACGGCTGTTAACCAGGCCTGTCCACAGGCTAGAAAAGGGTCAGTCTGAAATCCTCTGCCCCTTGGGGCTCATGGAACAGTAGCAGAATTTCTGGGAGCACTGGATATGTCAGAGGTTGTGTCAGTATGTATAGTTCAGTTATGAGAAACCTAGTAATTTGGAGTTCGTTCTTTGCTTTACAGAATGCTTTTTTTTCTCTAGTGCTTTACTCACTAGAGAAATAAGCCAAACACAAAAGAACAAATATTGTATGAGTCTGCCTATATGAGGTATCTAAAATAGGCAAATTTATAGAGACAGGAAGGCGACTTTAGTTCACCAGGGGCTGAGGGGAGGAGGGAATGGAGAGTCATTGTTTAATGGATACAGAGGTTTAGTTTGGGATGCTGAAAAAGTTCTGGAAATGGATGGTGGTGATGGTTGCACGACGTTGTGAATGTACTTAATGCCTCTAATTGTACACTTCAAAATGGTTAAAATGGTAAATCTTATGTTAAGTATGTTGTACCACAATACAAAAAAAAATTGCTCATCGGAAATGCCTGAAACTAACAAGCTCTTTGAAAATGTGATTTTAAAAATTCATTCTGTAGCCTTTAGGAACATTAAGTTGAACCTCCGTTTGTTGATGCCTGCTGTCTTCACAGCTAAGGTCCTTAGTAAAGGAGTTTGTTAAAAGAATTCAGTTAAAATCTCTCTTAAGTTTTCTACTTGCAGTAGGTTCCTGGCTCTCCTCCCTCCAGATTCCTTGGATTCAGTGCAGGAATCTGCCATAAGTAAGAAATTTAAAGTAGATTTTACTTTTCACATGAAGAAAACTCTTAGTGTTGGGAAAATAGCCCTTTTATTATGATAACCCAAAATTATGTATTATTTCTTGTATGCTTTCCGATGGGAGAGGTCTTTGTTTTATGTTACCTTATTTAAGCTGTCAGTTTGCCTGTGAGAGAGTTTATCAAGCTTTCTTGTAAGATGTAACAGCTGAATTACAACTGCATTGAACTCTAGATACCATCGATTATTTTATGTACCACCAAAGAAGGAGAAAACACTGCCAGTTAAGCTATGACATATGCTTTATCATCATTTAGGTCTTTAAAAATTCTTATTGAAAAATGTTTAGACTTATTTAGACATTTTAAAATAATATTCTAACGTATATATAAAAAGAAAAAATAAGTGAAAAAAAAATAAGAGATTGGTTAAAGTGTTCATTAAACTTAACATTCCTACTCTTTTGAATACTTTTCAATTCAGAGTTATATCCTTGCTTTTCCCAGTGTTGGCCTTTGTACCATCAAAAACATTGATGAGGAGCCAGCCCGTGTTGTAGTGGTTAAGTTCCGTGTCCTCTGCTTTGGTGGCCTGGGTTTGTGTGGATCCTGAGTGCAGACCTACACCATTTGTCAGCCATGCTGTGGCAGCAGCAGACATTTAAAGTGGAGGAAGACTGGCCCAGATGTTAGCTCAGGGCTAATCTTCCTCAGCAAAAAAACCCCCAGAAAAACAAAAAACACTGATGACACTCCCAGGAATGCTCTATCCTTAAGGCCGTGACAACTATTAACCTGGTCATCACATCTTGATTTCAGAAATTTATAAATATGCCTCTTAAACTTGATTGACTATGCTCTGTATCATTTTCATAAACTTTTCCTTTTTGCCTCATTTATATTTGCAGTTAGACTAGAAAGAGATTTTTGTCTTATTTGTAACATTGAGGAAAAAATTTTCCTTTTATTTTGGTGGTATGTAGTTAATAATTTTCATGAAACAAGCACTGTTTCTGCTTTCTTGATTTGAACTTATTATCCTGAATTCTAATGAATATGAGGGTGCAGTTAAAAACATTTCCTTGGCTTTATTGTAATGTAATAGTAGGATAACTGATAAGTGGGGAGTTGGGGATCAGAACAATACCTTCTCTTTTGAATCTCAAAGAGTTTGCCACAATGGAACATTTGCCCTGAAGTTTTAAGTAAAATGTTCAGCTCTGACTTAAAGGGAGACACGAATCAAACTTCATAAAGTAGGTAGCTTGTTTTTTAAAAATTCTAAAATAAGTTTTACTAAGTTCTTTGGCTAAAGTGTTCCAAGTAGGAGAAAATATAGGCATGCTGACTGACAATGGTCTGGAGACTGAAAACGCTTTCCAAAGGATGTTTTAATTCTGCAGAATTACGTAGGCATTGACCTGTGTTGGCTTTCTATTTTTGACAAATGTGCCCTGGTAATGTAAGATCGTAACGTTAAAGGGAACTGGGTGAGGGGCACACAGGAGTTCTCGGCGTTCTGTGCAACTTTTCTGTAAATCTAAAATTATTCCAAAATTAAAAGTTTATTTTAAAATACAAAGGTTGAAGCTAAGAAGGTGCAGAATAGAAGTTAATATAATAACAAAATACTAATCTTGGTTAGTTTTCTTTCTGCTGTTCACACACCTGTGGTGTTTATTAGCAAAGCACGTGTACACAGTGAATGACACCAACAACTCTTACATTTTCAACATGATTTTTCCTTTCAGAAGTCAGTGTGATTTTTATGTGAAGCAAAGCTGAGAGATGGATTCCTCTTCCTCACTCATTCATACTTTTTTGATGGCCATGGCATAAGAAACTTTATCCCAGGAATACGACTTTGCATTAGGTAAGCCATAAACTTGCTAAAAATACAATTTTTAAAATTATTTACTAAAATGGTTTCTTTTTCAGCAAAAATGATAATGTAAGTGTATTTAATGGCCCTAGAGCAGCAGGTTCTTTTACTTCTCTTCTCTCTCTTCCTCATTAAGTCTGAGGAAGAAATATTGCACATTTTAAGGCCAATCACTGCCATATGTTGTTGTACTGTTAGAGCATTTGATTTCAGATAAACCTTACTGCTAAGTGACGTTTTTTTAGCTTAGAAAAATATCAGATTTGAAATTACACTTCTATTTGAATCCTGACATACCATTTCTGACATATGTGACCTTGGGCGAGCTTGACCTTCCTGAGCTTCCGTTTACTCATCTTTAAAATAAGTATGATGATACAAATGTTACCGAGACAGGTTCGTTTTTGCCCATTGCTCAGAAAGCCAATCATGGAAATGACGAGATTGCAGCAGAGAGAGGGTTTTAATCACAAGGCAGCCAAGCGAGGAGGTGGGAGAATGTCCTAGATGTGCCTCCGCAAAAATGGGGACTCGGAGATTTATGGATGGGGGCACAGTGGTCTGAAGTCTGGGGATGGATGATTGGAGGTGAGGTAATGATGATCTGCGCAAGCGTGGTCAGACTCCACGCCTCTTCACAGGACACATGTTCGCAAAGTGGTGGCGTTAGTATGATCTGAGGGTGGAGTTTTTAGCCTCTTGACATCAGAAAGTTCACTTATTGGGCCCCTGCACAGGCCCACTTGATGGGTTGGTGGTCTTGACTGGCCTGAACTGGACAAGGCGGTCCTAATTCCTGAAAAACAGCTTTCAAACATCTGTTACCATGGTGACCCAGGCACCAAGGAGATGTTATCTGTAGGAACCTAGTGGGAATCAGATAGTATATTGCCTAAACAGCACAGTTAACAATGGGTGGGGGACAGCTAAAAGCTATAATTATAATTGAAAACAAAAAGATAGCTTTAGTTACCTGCTATCTAATCGTCAATGGCTAACTGTTCACTAGTGTCACAGGAGTATTACAAGACCCAAGTTTACACAGTCTGCTTGGTGAACTGTAAAGCGTTTGACTAATATAAAGAATTTTGGTAGGCATGGGCTGTGGGTATTTTTATACATTTGTGCCAGTCTTTAGATTTAGTGAAGTAATATTTACTGTGTTTAAATGTGCACCCACAGTAAGCATGCAAATTACCATATGTTCTGATTAAGAAATCTCTGGAGGGTTTCAAGACAAGTAGCTAGTGGGTCTGCTTCTGTCTTATATTGCTGTCGTCTGTGTTTTTAGGATATGTAGTTGGTGTTTAAATAGTGTATAAAACTTGACATACAGTTCCTCAACTGAATAATAAATATAGGCTGCTGTTAAACTCACCAAAGTTGAGAGGAGTCTTGGACATCGTCTAGTTCAGTGATTCTTCCATATTTGCTCTGCGTCCTCTGCTTCACAGAAAGCCAGACAGCCCCCATAAACCATGGAGGGAATGAGCTGGGCTTGGTGTGTTTGTTTTAGAACTGTTACTGTTAGGATTTTTTAAAAAACTGTGGGCAAAGTGAGGTATAAAGTTGCTAGTACCTCACTAATTCTGAGGATGGTGAATAATTTGCTCTGGAGTTTATGAATGCACTGTGTGTTATAGGTCATTTCAGTTATTTATTTGTGAAAATAGTATTTGCGTTTACCTTCTACACTATCTCATCTCTCAGGCTATAAGGAGCCTGAGCAAGTGTTTTGAATTTAAATTACATCTTCATCACTCACTAGTTATATGACCTTAGGCAAGTACTTTAGCCTCTTTATTTCCTATTTATACAATAGGAATAAAAAATACGTATTGAGTGGATTGTTATGAGGATTAAATGAGAGAGAATACATGAAGTGCTTTGCACAGACTCTGGTACAATGCATGCATTTAGTAAATAGTAGGTGCTGTTATTATGCCTACTAATTATGACATTTTCCTAGGTACAGTCGGGAAACTTCAGAGTGGGTATTGGTAACTAGTTTACCTTGCATTACTCTATTTTTTAAACAGCTTTATTGAGACATAATTCATAGGCAATTAAGAGTTTTTTAGTATATTCAGTGAGTTGTGTACCCATCACGACAATCTGATTTTAGAATTTTCATCCCCCTAAAAAAAATCAGCAGTCACTCTTCATTTCCTCTCCCCATAGTTCCTGGCAGCCACTGATTGCTTTTGTCTATGGATTTCCCTATTCTGAACAGTTCATATAAGTGGAATCATAGAAGATGTGGTCTTTTGTGTCTAACTTCTTTCACTTGGCATAATGTTTTCCAGGTTTAGACATGTTGTCACATCTATCAGTAATTCATTATTTTTTATTGCCAAAAGAATGGCATAATACAATAATACATACATAGCACATAATAAAATGGAATAATATTCCATTGTATGGGTATACCACATTCTATTTATCCCGTCACCAGTTGAGGACATTTGGGTCGTTTCTACTTTTTGGCTATTATGAATAATTCTGTTATGGACATTCGTGTGTAAGTTTTTTGTGGACATCATGTGTTTTCATTTCTCTTGGGTATATACGTTCTAGTAGAATTGTTGAGTTACAACTTTTTGAGGAATTGCCGAACTGTTTTCCAAAGTGGCTGCACCATTTTACATTCCTCCCAGCAATGTGTGAGGATTCTAATCCTGCCAAATCCTCACCATCACCTGTTATTATCTGTCTTATTTATCATGGCCATCTGAGTGGGTGAGAAGTGATATCTCATTGTAGTTTTGATTTGCATTTTCCTAATGAATAATGATACTGAGCTTTTTTGTGTGTACTCATTTGTGTATCTTCTTTGGAGAAATATCTCTTGAAATGCTTTGCCCATTTTTCAATTGGATTGTCTTTTTATGATTGAATTTCAAGAGTTCTGTAAATATTCTGGATACAGGTTACTTACCAGGTATATGATTTGCATATATTTTCTCCCATGTTGTAGATTATCTTTTCACTTTCTTAATGGTGTGATTTTTAACGTACCCAGCAGTACTGTCACATCTTCTTGCCAACCGATTTAGTTAATCCTATCAATTCTACCCCTCTGTTTTCCATGCTCACTGTTATTTCTTTGCCTCAAACCTAGACTGTACTTGCTGAAATCTTAAAGTTAGCTTCTTTTTCAGACTTGTTCCTAGTATAAGTCTATCAGCAGATTATCCTTCTGGAACATATTTCACAATGTGTCACTCAAAAGTTTTCACTGCTGACCCTGTGCCCACATTTAAAGCTCAAACTCAGCCTTCAGCAGTGTAGTCCTAGTCATCCTTTCCAGGTTTATCTCCCACCACCCTCTGTCACTGGTGGAAGGAGGCACAGGTAATGATCTGTGTCACCAGGGGTCGTCTTGAATGGAAGAGAACTGGGAAAGAGCTTGTGAGATGAGATGGCTTTCTGGCGGGAGTTTCACCATAGCCTAGGATCCTGCCCTCAGTGATGGAACCAATAAATCAGTTTCTTGTCACACTCACAATGTACTCAACCCACAAGAGATTAAAGTAAACAAACCAGAGTGCCATGTGATTTAGGATTTTTCTCTCTCTGTTAATACTTGAGCTAGGATTATAGTTTTTCCTTTGTTGTCAAGTTTGGATACCAAGGTTTTATGTAAAAATAATCAGTAAGTTTTCTCCTATATCCCCTTTCCCCCTTCTTGCTTCTCTGAGACAGTTTATATAGCATAGGAATTAGTTTTACAGAATTTTCCCATAAAATATTTTGGGCCTGGTGTACCTTTAGAAATCATTTCAACATGTTTTGTAATCTCTTCACAGTTATTGATCTGTTAAGATTTTTTTCTTCTCTGGTCAATTCTGACAATTTACATTTTTCTATAAAACTTTTTATCTATGAGACTTTAAAATTTATTATTGTATAATTGTCTTCTGTTTTTACAAGTTTCTAGGATTATATTCCATTTCTTACTCCTAATTTTGTGAATTTGACATTGTAGTTTTAATTTCTTCATTGTTTTAAGAATTAAGAATTTTGTTTAATTATTGAGGTTGGGAGCTTTTTAAAATTTATCTTTACTCTTTCTAGATTTATTACATTGTGTAATCAAATGTGCTCTGTGTATGCATTTCTACTTTGGGGAATTTATTGATGTTCTCTGTGGCCACTTATATGATTGTTTTTGTAAATGTCCTATGAAAATTGAAAAAGGTGTATTATTTGTAAGATACAGAGGTTGTATATTTTAGTTAAATTATCATTGTTAATGATATCAATCTAAACCTCTAGATCCTAATTATCCTTTGCCTACTTGATTTATTAAGGATTAAAAGAGATATTTCTATTTCTTACTACAATTATGTTTCTCTCACTGTTTTATTTTTTTGAAGTCTACACTACATTTACACACAAAAATTCACAACGTAACCCTCATTGTGAGTTATAGAACTCATGAGTTAACAGTAAACTTTCATCCCATTTGATGCTTTTTACATTGAATTTTACTTTGATATTAATAGTTTTGCTTGACTTATTTTTGTTTTTGTGTATTTTTGTTTCTGTTCTTTTTACTTTTGAGGTTTACAGGCTTTCTTTTCTTTGGTCCTCTGTACACAATGGGTCTTTTTTCTCTGTCTACTTTTAAGATTTTCTCTTCATTGCTGATTTTTAAATGATTTGATTATGATATGCCTTGGTGTAGTTTTCTTCCTGCTTCTTGTGCTTGGGGTTGTTGAGCTTCTTGGATCTATGGGTATCATTTTCATCAAATATAGAACAATTTTGGCTATTACTTCTTGAAATAAATTTCAGCCTTTATACCCTCCCCTTCTCCTTCAGGGGCTCCAACTAGACACCTTGTAGTTGTCTCACAGCTAACTGGTCCTCTGTTCCCCCTTCCCTTTTTATTTTTGGTCTTTTTTCTCTCTGTTTTATTTTAGATTGTTTCTATTGCTGTGTTTTCAAGTTCACTGATCTTTTCTTTTTCGGTGTTAATTCTTTTG